GCAATTTAGCGTGACCCTCTCTCAAAATAAAAAATAGAAAGGGCTGGGATGTGGCTCAGGGGTAGGTCACCCTGGGTTCAGTCCCCAAGACCAAACAAACAAACAAAAAAGGGCTGGGCTTGCTGACGCACGTGGTGATCTCGGCAGAAGCATTTTGGGTACATAAGGTTAGGCCCCGATTTTGACAAGATGAAGTTCGCAGGCTGACGTGCGTGGGGCTGTGCCTCCAGGAGGAGCCCAGAGAAGGAAACCCCTGGAAGTTCCCGTGACTGCGACGACATGCCCCTACAGACCAGGCAGCTAGAGCAACAGAAATGGAGTGTCTCCTGGTTCTGGAGACCAGAGAGGCCGAGATCAAAGTGTCGGCAGGGCTGGCTCCTCCTAGAGCTCGGAGGGAGGGTCTATTCCCGGCCTCCTCGTGGGCTGGGTGGCTGTGGGCGTCCTTGGTTTGCAGGTACGAACCCCAGGGCCTGCCTTCCGCATTGTACAGCTCTGGGTCCAACCTCCCCTTTTTAGTTTGCAGTACTGGGGGGTTTGAACCCCGGGCTTCACACAGGCTGGGCAAGGGCTCTACCACCGAGCCGCATCCCCAGCCCTTTTTATTTTTCATTTTGGCACAGGGTCTCACTAAACTGTTCAGTCTGGCCTCAAGCTTGCAATCCTCCTGCCTCAGCCTCCTGAGTAGCGGGGATATGGGCATGTGTCACCAAGCCCAGCCCAAACCCCTCCTATTATGAGGACACTAGTCATTGGATTAGAACCCACTTTAATCAAATGTTACTTCAACTTCAGTTGATCACGTCTGCAGAATCTAGGTCATGTTCAGGAGTCAGGATATGAACCTCTCTGTTGGAGGGACACAGTTCAACTCCGACTTTCTGAACTGTATGAAGGAATAGTTGGCACAGCACTGTCCCCAGGGCCAGGTGTGGAATGAAGTGCCGTGTCCAGAATAGCAGCCGTGGTTGTGGGGATGCAGGAGCAGGAGAAGGCCACGGGAGGTCGGCATAACAGGCTGGAGACAGGAGGGACCCGGAGGGGGCTCAGAGGTGGGACAGCACCCAGCATATGGGAGGCCCTGGGCTCCATCCCCAGCCTCATCACAAGGGGAAAAAAGATGTGTATCTTATCCTGACCACTGGCAGCATGTTCCACCGAGGATTCTAGAATAAAGATGATCCTTGCTTTATAATGACTTGACTTGCAATTTTTCCACTGTACAATGATGCAAAAGCAATAGTGGGCCAGGCCCAGTGGCGCACGCCTGTCATCCCAGCAACTGGGGAGGCTGAGGCAGGAGGATCATGAGTTCAAAGCCAGCCTCAGCAACTCAGTGAGACCCTGTCTCTAAATAAAATACAAAATGGAACTGAGGATGTGGCTCAGTGGTCAAGGGGCCCTGAGTCCAATCCCTGGTACCTGCCACCCCCCAAAAGAAGCAAGAGCGTTCTCGTGCATTATGGACTCCTGGGCTCAAAGGATCCTCCTGCCTCAGCCTCCTGAGCAGCTGCCCCTACAGGGGCACACCACTGGCACTGTGTCTGGCACACTAGGAAGTTTTAAATAGCATCTGTGACTCGAGTTGTATTTCTACTATATAGCAAAGCTCTGGAAGTTCTGCACAGATTCTAGATCATTCCCTAGCCCAGGGAGGCAGCAGTGAGATGCCCCTTCTTCGGGCAGGGAGGGAGGGCGGCTGGATTTAGAACACTGTGGTGATGGTGTGCGACACTCAGGGGCATTCAACTACTGAGCCACATCCCCAGCCCTATTTTCCCTATTTTGTATATTATTTAGAGACAGGGTCTCACTGAGTTGCTTAGGGCCTTGCTGTTGCTGAGGCTGGCTTTGAGCTCGAGATCCTCCTGCCTCGGCCTCCTGAGCTGCTGGGATGACAGGCGTGGGCCACTGCACCCAGCCGTCTTTGTACTTTAATTAAGCATGACTGTGCCTCTCTTAGCTGAAAAGTATACAGCTGAGTATGGAAAGCTATTCATATTAGCATGTTTTCACTTCTAGGTAACCAGCTTAAGCAGATGGATTCTGATTTGTCAGGCTTCTTTTAAAATCCTCCATTTGACAAATGAAAAACTTCTAGTAACAATGTTGAATTAATGAAAACCTGGAGAAGGGGGTGTGGCCCGGGGGCTGAGTGCTTGCCTGGCGGCCAGAGGCGCTGGGTTCCATCGCCAGCGCTGCAAAAAACAAACACCATCTGGGAGCATGAAATGCAAGAGAATCAACATCTTGAGGACCAAAAGCAACCTCCGCTAACCTGAGCGAGATAATAGTCATTTAACAGAAAAAAAAGACCTGACATTTGCCTCATTGTGTCCGTATGATTCACGTAGCGACCTGCAGTGGAGCCTCTTCCTAGGCCTCTGCCTGTGTGCACAGGGCCACAGGGATGCGAGCACGTGCAAGAGTCCGGCCCAGAAGGAGCTCAGCAGTAGGGCGTGGTGGGTGTGCAGGAGCCCAGCACCCAAACCCAAACTAAACTAAACGGAGCCGAGCAACCTACTCTGTCTGCCCAGCACAGTGGCCCACGCCTGTAATCCCACGGTTCAGGAGGCTGAGGCAGGAGGATCAGGAGTTCCACACCAGCCTTGGTAATTTAGCAAGGCCCTAAGCACCTTCGTGAGACCCTGTCTGTAAATAAAAAATAAAAAGGGCTGGGGATGGGGCTCCATGGTTAAGCACCTCTGGGTTCAACCAAAACAAAGAAATCCCTACTCCTGCAGATTTTCAAATACACAAAACCTTGCCATCAACCCTGGAAATGCACAGGAGCAACGTGGAGCACCTGGAACAGTTCCTCCTAACTCAAACTTTGCTTCCTTCTACCATCATTCTCCCAATTCCTCCATTCCCCTGCCTCTGGTCACGAGCTGTTCCACCCCAGGACTGCAACAGCCCCGACACTGCAGCTTATTGCTTTCTGATCTCAAAGAAAGAACCTGGAGGACTCCATGGAGAGGTTTTGGACATGTCACTACTTACTCCTGAGGGCGGGGTCTGGGACACGGTGGAGGGCCACCTCGTGTCAATTTACAGCCAAGGATCCTGTTTCTAGGTCCTCTCCCAAGGACTGGAGGTAAAGGAGTGGCCATTTTCCCTCCAAACTCCCCAGCCCCATGTTCTTTGGAGACTCGGGCTCTCCAGGGCCCGACTGGCTTTTAACCCAACAGCACCCACTCCGCTCTCTTCTCCTGCGACTTGCACATGCGAAGGAGCCAGGCCCTGCTTGTCTGTCTGTGCCTGCCTTCTTCACTCACCACACTGTCTCCTCTGCAGCATTTTGAAGTCCACACCCTTCACTACATTTTCAAAATCTCTTGCTAGATGACCAAGGATTCCGCGTATTTAGGGATCCTGAACACCTGGGGGCGCCCTCTGCCTACTCTAGACATTGCCCAGGCACCCAAACATCTTCGTTATGAATTCAGTAACATTTTTCTACTGTCATGGAGTTGACCTGAAAATTACATTTTCAGCAAACTCATAAAGGCTCTAATGATTTACAGTGTCATGAAAATCATAAAATGAAATGCTCTTGAAAGAAATCTAAGCGTGGCATGGTGGCACAGATCTGTCATTCTAGTGATTCAGGAGACTGCGCAGCAGGAACATCACCAGTTCAAGGCCAGCCTCCCCAACTTAGGAAGATCCTAAGCAATTTAGCAAGACCCGGTGTCAAAGCGTAAATAAATAAAGGTCTGGGGGATGTAGTTCAGTAGTAAGCAACCTGGGGTTCTGACTCCAGTAGGAAAGAAAGAGGAAGAAGAGAAGGAAGAAACCTATTACGCTGCACACTTTAAACTGTTTAAGATGGTACATTTTTTTTTATAACTTTATTTTTATGTGGTGCTGAGGATTGAACCCAGGGCCTTGCACATGTAAGGCGAGCGCTCTACCGCTGAGCCTTTAAGAGGATACTAAGGCTTAGTCATTTAAGACATACTGATGCATAGGTGCCTAAGACAAATTGGTGTCCCAAACCTACTTCTTAATAAAATAATAAAGGTGCCTGTCATCCCAGCGTCTCCGGAAGCTGAGGCAGGAGGATCACAAGTTCAAAGCCAGCCTCAGCAAATTTAGCAAGGTCCTAAGCAACTCAGTGAGACCCTGTCTCAAAAAAAAAAATTTTTTTTTAAGGGCTGGGGATGTGGCTCAGTGGTTAAGAGCCCTTGAGTTCAATCCTCCTTACCAAAAAAATAAATAAAAAGGAAAATAAAATAGAAAAATGAAAATAGGGGAGGTAGAGGCAGTAATCCAGGGGAAAAGGCCAGTAGGAACGAAAGAGGAAAATTTTGAACCGCCCACAGTTACACTTTAGCCAAATTTGATTCCTGATCTCTCTCGGCCTCAGCTTCCCCCTGCACCGCGCCGAGGGCCTGGGTTTCTCTTCTCCCAGGGGCACGGGGGCAGCACGCGCTGAGGATGAGGAGCGCTCTGCCACCGAGCTCCAGCCCAGCCCAGGGGGCGTTACTTTCTATGCCCCTTTCTCTCCTGTGCCCTAGCGTCGCGGTGGGACGAAGATTTCTGGACTAGGAAAGTGCTTTCAAAGCTAAAACTTGTTGCCAATACTACCTGGATCATCTCCCCATATGGACCGCGGGCGCGCCCTGGCGGGCGGGCAACTCCTGGCTGACGCCGTCAGACCACGTGTGAAATCGAGGCCACCATCTTTCCTCCGGGCAGCGGCCATCTTGGTAAAGGTAATGTTCTAGATTATTACTTTTTGTCCACCATTCTGGCTCTCCAATATATGAAGGGGGAACAAATAACGAAGATTCACGAAATGTACTCGTTTTATAAAGAAGAAGAAATGGCTGATGACTTAGAGTCTGGCCGAGGCCGGGCCAGAATTTCCTTTACCAAGATGGCCGCGGCATGGTTACGTAATAAGAGCGCGCCACCGGAAAGTCAACGCGCAGGCTCTCTAGTGACGTCACGGAGGCGCGACCGGGCCGGCGCTGGAGGAAGGAGGTAGGAGCAGCGGCGGTGCGGGCGGAGCCCGTGTGTAAGGGGGCCGACGGGCCCTGCGGGGATTGCTCGGCGCGGGTCTGCCCGCGGGAAGGCTGGAGGTGGGGTGCTCGGGGACGGGAGCACCTCTGGTGCCCAGTTTTGACAGCACCCGCGGTGGGGCTGTGCCCATTTCTCAGACCCAGGGACTGAAACCCAGAGGGCACCCAGCCCCACGCTGCACTGAGCAGCTTGCACCCCGAGGAGGACCCAGCAGGATGCGGACATTCTCTGGCTGCGGCGTTAGGGGTTGGGCTGGGGTGGCCCGGGGAATACAATTAGGAGGGCTTCTTGGAGGAGGCAGCCTTGAGCTTTATCCTCTGTTTCATTCACCTGCGATCAGTCACGTGGGTCTCAGTTCCCACCCCCTGGACCCCACCCGTGCGGGTCCTCAAGTCCACCGCCTCACCATCCCCAGGGCTCTGTCTCGCCCACTGGTGCCGCTGGAAGGCCCGCCACACCTTCCTGTCATCCTGGAATGGGAGTCCCCCGTTTCCCGAGCTGCCTCCCGCACACCTCCGCAGGCTGGGTTCCCTCTTTTCATTTTTTCTTTTTTCTTTTTTTTTTTTTTAATATTTTTAGTTGTAGACGGACACAATACCTTTGTTTAATTTATTTTTATGTGGTGCTGAGGATCGAACCCAGGGCCTCGCACATGCTAGGCAGGTGCTCTGCCACTCAGCCCCAGCCCATTTTGTACCTTTTCTAAGGGGCCATCGACCCAGGCAGGGTCAGAGAGCCCCCTCCCAGTGCCCTGAGTGTCCTCACAGCTCTGATTGTGTCTGAGGGGGCGTGGTGCTGGGGATGGAAGCCAGGGCCTGTGCATCAGTGCTCTGCCACAGCTGCAGGTCCAGCCTGGCCGGTTGCATCTTGTACTTCCTGTACTCATCTATCTTCCCATCAGCCTGGGGAGTCCCGTGCACCCAGGCAGCTCACGGCCACTTCTTTCCGTACACCCCACACCCACTAGTTACTGTGTGTGTTTGTTGAGGGACCTGCAGGAAAGGAAGGGTGTCTGTGTGAGCTTGGCCAGCTGAGCCTGTCCGTTTAAACAACAAATAGGTTTTGTCTGACGTGGAGGGTGGGATTCCTGCTCATTCAGCTCTGGTGAGGCATCTTTCTGCTGTGCTGCCGGCCACCTGCTCACTCCAGCCTGGTAGGAAAGAGGGACACTTATCAGGTGACCATCTAAATGAATCTAAAATAGCAACCCAGGTACATGTCTCCAAGAGAGGTTTGTGACCTGAAAGAATCGGAGGAGGTCTCAGGAAAGGCTTCCTGCCGGTGGGAACTCCCGAGTCTGGCCCTGAAGTTTAAATAGGCGTTTACTACATAAAAAGAGGGGCAAAGAGGACCAGGTGGAGGGAATAGCAAGTGCCAAGGCCCTGAGGCGGAAACCTGCTTGAGGATTTGAAGAACAGCAAAGAGGCCTCTCGGTGAGGGAAGGGGAGAAGCAAGGAGGTGGGTGGAAAGGCAGCAAAGGGGCTTAGCGAGAGCCTCGGGTCCTCGTCTGCATCATGAGCAGTGACCCCACCTGCGTGGTCTCCTGGGGCTCCCAGATGGGTTTTCTGCGGGGTGTACCGTAAGACTCAGGGGTCTGAGGAAGGGCTAGGAGAAGTGGGGCTTCAGGGACCTCAGCTAGTCACACAGCCAGCTCTTGTGCTCCACACTCCTTGGTGCAACTCATGTCCCCACTCTGCCCTGCTCCGCCCAGCCTCAGGGTTGAGGGGCTCCAGTGACCCCAGCATCCTGACCTGCTCTGATGTTTCTTGGGGGACAGCTGGGGGACCCTGGAGCACGACAGTGGTCAGGGACACAGGACTGAGGGGCTGGGAAGGGCTGGAATCCTGGCTTTCCGCTGCCAGCTCTGGGACCTCTGAGTATGTCACTGACACTGTCAAAGCCTCATCTGTGGGCCCCCCAGGCCCAGCCAGGGACGCAGTGTTTTAGAATGTGCCCGGTGTCACCTGCGCTCACCTCCCGGTTACCATCATGGCCCGGCCCCGAGGGGTTCAGGCTTAGCCCTGCCCACGACACCATGGTGCAGCCCACCCCAGCCTCGCCGCAGCCTCAGCGAGCACGCGTTCGTGGCCTGCTCGGAGCTGCCTCGGCCCAGGACCCCTCGTCTTGCCCTCCCCCATGCTCCGCACTGGCCCGCAGTGGCCTCTGCAGTGGCCTGTGAGGCCCAGCCCTTTCCTGCCAACGGGCCTTTGCACGTCCTCGCCTCTGTCCAGAACCTCCCCTCGGTGGCTGCTGTCAGGGTTTCTGGAGGGGCGGGGATGGGGGAGGGCTCGACACTCCAGGGCCCTGCGTCCCTGCAGCATGCCTTCCTGTCATCTGAGAAGCTGGCTTTGCAAGTGACACTTCATGTAGAGCCCTGTGTGACCTGGCGGGGACCTGGGCTTCCCCACCTCTGAGTGGGGCCAATGACAGCTCCAGGTTTCCGGTTTGGGGAGCGCCCTGTGGAGCTGGGCCGAGTAAGGTGCTCCACTAAGGAAAGGGGGCACCTGCCGTGGTGTGTGAGGTCCCCAGCGTCCGCTGTGGGAGTCACTGGCTCTGAGTCCTGCTAGTGGCAGAGTGGGAGGGGACACTGGGGCCCACTGTAGAATGACTCAGAAAAGCCAAAAAGCAGAAACTGCGCAGATGTCCAGCAGACGCCTGTTGGCAGACGAGTGGATAAACAAAGCCTGGCACGTCAGCAGGGCACGGTGGAACGCAGGGTGATCCAGCTACTCGAGGCTGAGGCAGAAGGTCGTGAGTTCAAGGCCAGTGTCAGCAAGTTAAGGCTGGGAGTGTGGCTCAGTGGTACAGCACCCCTGGGTTCAATCCCTGGTACCCCAAAAAGTGGCTTATCCTTCAGTGGAATATTACGCAGCCAGGAAAGGAATGAAGCACTGACGGGCTCCAAGACACAGAGAAGGAGCCTGGAGAACTTGAGGCTGAGGGGCAGAAGCCATGCGCAAGGGGACATAGAACATGTGGCTCCGTTCATGTCGAGTGTCCAGAACATCCTGTCACCAGAGACCCAGAGAGGATCAGGGCCTGGGGTGGGGAGTGACTGAGGGGCGGGGTCTCCTGAGGTGATGGGCAGGCGCTGGGCCTAGAAGAGGTGGTGGCTGGATCACATGGGGGTGGAGAGCAGCACTCGGTCGCTGCGCCCTTCTGGTGGCTCACTTTGCAGGTTTGGTGGTGATGTTTGTTTTTGTGATCCGGGGGCCCCACCCCTGAGCCATGTCCCCCGCTTTTTATTTTTTATTTTGGGACAGGGCCTCATTAGGTTGCTTAGGCTGGCCTCAAACTTTCGATCCTCCTGCCTCAGCCTCCTATTTCTGGGGTGATGGGCACCAGTTGACCTTGATAAAATATCAGAGAGGGAGGAGACCATGAGGTCTCCCAGGGGGTGACAGCGCCACGTGTGTGTTGGGGTGCGGGGGTTGGCAGCACCCCTTCACCGCCGTGTCCTCCCCCTGCAGCCTGCTGAGGGATGCCCAAGAAGTTCCAGGGCGAGAACACCAAGTCGGCGGCGGCCCGGGCACGGAGGGCTGAGGCCAAAGCGGCAGCTGATGCCAAGAAGCAGAAGGAGCTGGAGGATGCGTACTGGAAGGACGAGGACAAACACGTCATGAGGAAGGAGCAGCGCAAGGTGGGCAGGGCTGTGGCCACGTGCAGCTTGGTGGAGTGGGGGGGGGGTCTGGCCTGGAAGGTTGGTGGGAGGGAGGTGGAGACAGCCGGTGCAGCTTGTGCAAAGGCCCTGGGGTGGCGATTGCTGGCCTCATTTAGGGAATGGCGGGCCAGGCCCCTCCTCTCTGAGGGGGTGGAGCTAGACTGGTCAGTCCTGCTGGAAAATTCAGCTCCTGAGGGACATGTGGCAATGTCTGGAGATGTGTTTGGTTGTCACAATTAGCGAGGAGGGGCCGCTGGCATCTGGTGTGGAGGCCAGGGGTGCGGCTCAGCACCTGTGGTGCCGGCAGAGCTGCAGCTGGGTGCTGAGCGCTCACCACAACCTGCTCCCCAGGACTGGTTGGTTCAGGGCGGTGCTGACCTGCTGCGGCCAGTAGGTGGTGCCAGCGACCCACACCAGCCACGTCCTGGTTTCTGCCCATGTTGTCTGGTGAGGTGCGCTGACCCCGCCCCAGGGCTACTGTCCTACCAATCCAGTTGTGGCCACCAGGGTGCTTGTCCCTGTTTCCCCTCGGCCTGTGTGGGGCTGCCCTGTCTTATTTTCAGCAAACCCAGAATGTCACTGGTTTCCTTCTCTGCGCCCTCAGGATGCCCTGGGACCTGGGACGTCTTTACTCTTTTCTTTAGAGGCGAGTCTCTAGGGCCGCAGGGAGGCTTGGTGGCAAAGCGCCTGCTGGCACTGAGGCTCTGGGTTCCACAAGCAAAACAGAGCGCACGGCGGCCTTCCCTCCCTGCCCCACGTCCTTCCTTCCCCTCATCCAAAGTCCCCAGCAGCCTGGCTGAGAGCTGCGGAAAAACAGGATTGGCCAAAATCCCGCCTCCAGACCGAGACTCCCAGCCACAGCCTGGGAGTGGGTCATGCCCCGAGCTCGGGCCCCTGGACCCCTCCCGTGGCCTGCGCTTGGGTGTTGGGTGGTCTCCATCCTCTGAGTGGGGACACCTAGGCACAGAGAGAGCAGGTAGCGGCATTCTCGGGCCCAGGGGCAGGAGCCGGGCTGGCACCTAGTTACGCGGTGTGGCCTGGGGTGTGGCCGGCGGCAGCCAGAGCACCTGTCCTGGGTGAGTGGGGCCACACGCCATGTGGCAGGCACCTGGGAGGGCGGGCGTGTGGAGCAGTGGCCCACTGCAGTGGGGACAAGCTGGGGGCGGGCAGCAGAATCCCGCCGACGCTAGAGACGTTGACACAGGGCACAGAAGTGGCCTTGGACAGTGCTGGGGGGCTGCCTCCGCACACCTGCCTCCCCCGCTCCAGAACCTTCCGCGCTCCCCTTGCCCCTCCCCGCAGCCCCCTCCCGACCGCAGTTGCCATCGGTGGGCGGGCATCGCGCCCCAACGGCCAACGCTGGACCCGCTGTCCCCTGAATGAGGTGGTCGCCGACTCCGGGCACTTTAACCCCTGAGGTCCCGCCCTCGTGGATGAAGAGCCGGGATTTGGGGGGCGGGATTAGGTCAGATCAGGTCATGGGGTGGCGCCGGTGATGGAGTCCTGCGACTTTATAAAGGAGAGGGGACAGACACACGATGCCACCTCCATTCCCATAGACCCAGCCCCTGACCTCTCTGACCTCCAGAACCAAAATAAACCTCTTTTCTTGGTGGAGTAGCCTTCCTGGGCGTGTCGCTGTAGCAGTGCAAAGTGCACCGATATGGGCGGCAGGTTCCCGTGTCCACGGTGGCCCTCACTTGGACACTCCGCATTTAGTGGCGCTGCCAATGGCCCTTCTCCACCATCGTGTGGCGGCCTGGGGTCCTTGTCCCAGCCTCGGGGTCCCACCGGCCCCTCCCTGTTCCTCCGTGAGAGCTGCACAGAGCTGGCTGCCGCACGTGGTCCTGGTGGGAGGTGAAGGTCAACAGTCAAGTGCACTATTTTGATGAAAAAAAAAATCCAAACCACTGACCGCCAATCCCCGTTGCCCTGGCCCCCAAGCACCTGTCACCCGCCCTGTGCCTCCACCGCCCGGCTCTGTCCCGGCTGCTCAGTGGCTGCGCCATGACCGGAGCCTGGCGGTGGCATTTCACATCGGCCATGAGCACTGCCTCCGCTGGGTTCCAGCTCAGCCCCTGATGAGGCTCAGTTTTGGGGGGTTGTGGTACCAGCTCCTGAACTCAGGGGCACTTACCCCCGAGCCCCATCCCAGCCTTTTTAATATTTTTTTTAGAGACAGGGTCCCGCTGAGTTGCTGAGGCTGGCTTTGAACTCGCGATCCTCCCTCAGCCTCCATGAGCTGCTGGGGTGACCCTGTGCCACCACACCTGGCATAAGGTTCATTTTTGATGGCTCTGAAGTGTTCCACCAAGTGGCAGCATCCCTCCCCCACCACCCACGCTGCCAGCTGCTCACTGTCCTACTGTATGGAACTGAGTGGCCTTTACAAAATTGTGTGTGTGTGTGTGTGTATGAGGGTGTGTGCCAGTGTGTGTATGAGGGTGAACCTGAAGGTGTGGGTGTGAGTGTGGGTGTGAATGTGTCAGTGTGTGTGTGCATGTGTGGGTATGTGTGTGACTAGTGTGTGGTTTGTGTGTATGAGTGTGAGTGTGCGTGTTCATGTGTGTGTATGTATGCCTGTGAGCGTATCTATGAGTGTGTTTAAGTGATGTACTTGAGTGTACAAGTGTGTGAATGTATGCACATGTGCGTACATGTGTGTGAGTGTATGTCTGTATATGTGTGCATTTGTATTTGAGCATGCCTTTTTGAGTGTGCATGTGTGTCTGATTTGAGTGCATGAGAGAGGAAGTGTGTCTGAGTGTGTGCAAGTGGGTGCGTGTCAATGTGTCTGAGAGTGTATGTGAGTACATATGAGTGTGTGAGTGGGGGTGTGCATATGTGTGATTGTGTTTGTGCATGACCGTGCAAGTGTGTCAGTGTGTCGTATATAAGTGTGAGTGTACATGTGTCTGAGTGTATGTGAGTGAATGAGTGCATATGTACGTGTGTGTGTGTGTGAGCACTGTGCACACACTTGTATGTATTTCAGTGTGTATGTGTGGGTGTGAGAGTGCACGGGTGTATGTGCATGTATGTGTGAATGTGTTAGTACATGTGTATTTGAGTTTCAGTGCATGTAGGGGAGTGTGAGTATACATGTGAATATGCATGTGTGCATTTGTGTGTGTGTGCATGTGTGAATGAAAGTGTATATGGTGTCTGGTTGTGGTTGTTTGTGTGAACATTCATGTTTATGAGTGTGAGGGAATGGATGTATGTGTTTTTGAGTGAGTTTATGTGATTGAGTGTGTGTGTGAGTATGAATGTGTATGAATGTGTGATTGTGTATGAATATGTGTTCGAGTGTATGTATGTACACTGTAAATTTGTCAGTTGTGAGTGATTTTGTGTGTCAGTGTGTATATGTATAGGCATTTTGGGACAGTGTGTGTGAGTGCATGTGTATATAGGTGTGTGTGTCTGTGAGTGTGCATATATGACTATGTGTGTGTAATTGTGTTTGCATGTGTATGAGTGTATGTGTGTGAATGTGTTAGTATGTGTGTATTTGTGTGTGTGTGTGCATGCACACGTGCGCGACTGTGCGTGTTTCCTGGCGGTGGGCCAGGCCTGGGCTGGTGCTGGCGGGCTCCGCCTCCCACCTGTGCGCCCAGCCCCGCCTTGAAGACGTCTTGGGACAGGCCCCCTGTGCTGCCCAGGCTGGTCTTGAGCTCCTGTGCGCAGGTGTCCCTCCTGCCTCAGTGTCCCCGCAGCTGGGGCATAGGCAGCCACCACCACACCCTAACAAAAGTCGGATGCTCGTCTCACACTGCTGCCCCGTCCTGTAGCAGTGATGACCACGTGCTTCCTGTCCTTCCTGAGTTGTTGGAACCTTCCAGAATTCTTCCATTCTGGCACACTTCTGTCAGCAGCTGCTGGGCACCCGAGGGCTGGGGACAGCGGGCTGGCTGCCTGGAGGAGAGGTGGCACCCTGTCTGTGGTACAGCAGCCCCGGGAGGCAGAGCTGCCAACTCCGCCTCCCTCCCTCTTCTTAGGAAGCCACGTGTCACATGCCTCCGCTGTGGGGTCCCATTCATGACCCCATCCAATCAGAACACTCCCTAGACTGCACCTGCTAACACCATCAGCACCCCATCCTGGGGACCGAGTTCCTGGCACACGAGCTTTGGGGACATGTTCCAACCACAGCCCACGGCCAGCACCAGGGAGCCGTGGAGGAGGAGGGCACTTGGGGTGGGACCCCGCCTGCTTTCCCTCCTCCTGCCTGTGTCTGGCCAGCGCCCAGAAAGCCACCACCCACAACCAAGGCTCACGGGTCATCAGAGGGCTGGAAGGTGGATCTTGAGTACAGAGAAGAGCCACCTGGTGTAGTGGGCGGGCTCAGGGGCACCAGAGTTGACCAGGGAGGAGGAGGCCGGGCAAGGGCACTCCAGGCTAGGAAGAGCCAGCGCAAAGGCCCTGAGGCAGAGTGGCACTGGAGCAAAGTAAGTAGGGGAGTGTGCCAGCATGGGTCGAGGAGCCTCTGACTGGTGGCACACTGATCTCAGAGTCCAGTGGCCCTGCCTCAGTGCCCAGGCCCAGAAGTGAGCAGAGCCCAGTAGCCACATTTAAACACCTTTGATTTTAGTCCCCTCCCACTTTCCTCCTGTGCGGCCTGGCCTTAGGCTGAGGACCCCTCTTCTGGGACCCTCAGTTCTGCCAGGTCTGTCTGGGGATACAGGTGGTGACCCAGGGAATGCTGCAGGTGTCCTTGGGAGAACTTGGTGAATTCCCAGTCGTGAACAGGCAGATGGGGTGTCTGAGGGCAGGGCCTGTGGGGTGCCCGGCAGATGGCGGGGCGCATCCTTCGCTGCACTTGGGCTACAAACAGACCGCAACCTCCCCTCCCCCCACAGGTGGCGGGCAGTGGCCAACGCAAGTCCCACAGACCAGCTGTCCCTCGCCCAGCTGCCTCAGGGCCGGGTCGGGACCTACCCCACCCTCACTAATAGGCTGGGGACATTTGGACAGTATGTCCCCCAGCTGCCAAAGGAGCCCAGACTTCCTATGGCTCTTGGAACCAAAAGCAGACCTCTTGCGGGTGTTGAGGCTCCTGGTCGCCCAGTCCCCCACCCTCCTGCCCCTCTCCCTCTGCGGCTCCCCTGAGCTGCCCATTGCAGCCACACCAGCCTCCAAACCCATCAGTCCTTTGTACCTGCCACACCCTCACCAGGGAAGGCCCCACTCTGGCCACCCCTCCTCCTGTCCCCAGTCACTTCTCCAAGGGCAGCTTGTCCTGGCCAGGGTCCCCTGTTGCCCACATTCCTATAGGACCGGAGCCTTTCGCTTGGGCAGCCCCTGGGCCCATCTTGCGCCCCGCTGTGTCCCCACACCCAGCACAGAGTACGACACCGCCAGGCCTCCGTGCAGGTTGGCTGGGATGACCACCAGGACCCCACGTGCCAGCCGGGTGCGGTGAGGTGGCTTCCCCAGCCTGACACCGGTCCCCACAGGAGGAGAAGGAGAAGCGGCGCCTGGAGCAGCTGGAGCGCAAGAAGGAGACGCAGCGCCTGCTGGAGGAGGAGGACTCCAAGCTCAAGGGTGGCAAGGCGCCCCGCGCTGCCCCCAGTAAGGTCACCCGGGCCCAAATTGAAGACACACTGCGTCGGGACCATCAGCACAGGGATACCGTCGACACAGGTGGGCTGCCTGTCACTGGAGTGGCCCTTTTGGCCACTGAAGGCCGAACCCTGGGATGTCCCCCGGGGTCTGCAGGCCTCCTTTAACGTGAAGGGTGGCTGGTTCGTCACAGGTGTGCGCATGCGTGTACTGATCCGCACCCACCCGCCAGGGCTGGTGCTCCCCAGAGTGCTAGTGGGAGGTCCTGAGCCCCGTGTGGGGCGCTGCGTGAGGGCCTTGGGGGGTGAGGAGCGTGCTGCCGGCAGGGCCGGGCACAGGGGCGGCCCCCTCCCGGTCAGCCCCGGCTCCTCTCCACCCCCTCCTCCCTCGCTGGCTGCTTCTGCCGCTGCCTCATCATCTTGGAACTCTGCATCTCTGACTCTGTCTCTGTCACCACCCACCCGGCCGTCTGCCTGTCCCAAGCAGAGAAAACCAAGAGCCATCTGGAGGTGCCGCTCGAAGAGAACGTGAACCGCCGCGTGCTGGAGGAGGGCAGCGTGGAGGCGCGCACCATCGAGGACGCCATCGCGGTGCTCAGGTAGGGGCGGGGCGGGGCTCCCGGTGGGAGGGGCCGAGGGGCGGGGCCAGGCCTCCCTAGGGGGCGGGGTGGGGACCTGCGCCTGGACACCTCCACCCACCCCACCACCGTGCAACGACCCAGCGCCCTAATGCCCACCCTGTGCGCTCCCAGCGTGGCGGAAGAGGCGGACCGGCACCCCGAGCGCCGCATGCGGGCGGCCTTCACCGCCTTCGAGGAAGCACAGCTGCCCCGGCTCAAGCAGGAGAACCCCAACATGCGGCTGTCGCAGCTGAAGCAGCTCCTGAAGAAGGAGTGGCTGCGCTCTCCGGACAACCCCATGAACCAGCGGGCCTTGCCTTTCAACGCCCCCAAGTGAGACCAGAACTGGGGGGACCGCCCCAGAGGCGGTCCAGGCCACAACTCGACTGCGAATGCCCTCTCACTGGGTCAGCTCTGAGGATTTCAGAGAGTCCAGGGACCCTGGTACCTGTCCCTGGGGCTGTGTGCCATCACCGCCAACCCTCTTTCGCCAGTGGGTCCCTGCTCTGAGTGACACCCTCAATATCCCGCGGCACCTGTGGAGCCCCGGGACTGAGCACCCAATAAAGGCGGTGGGCAAGGCCTGTGTGCGTGGGTAGCTGCGGAGGGTCGGCCAGAGGTGGGGGACGGCTGGCAGTGTTCTCGTTGGGTACCGGCCCTTACCTGAGCTGAGACCGTGGCTGGGAAAGGCGAGGGCCCCACTTCAAGCTATGACACTTGTCCACTGAGACCCGTATGACCTTCTCCTGCAGCCTGCAGGGCTCAGAGACATGTGCTGGCCCAAGGTCATGTAGCATTTCAGGGCCAGGGAGAGAGGACAGTTGGAGGCCAGTGTTCATCTGCCACCATACTTGGGGTGAGGGGATACTGGTTCCTCTGCTGTCATCTCTACAGGGGAGGCGTCTGGGAGGGATTCTGGGCTGGCTTCCCACTGGTGGATTTCTCCTGAGCCTGCCTTACAGGATGAGTCAGATGGCATCCTGAGGGGGGACAAGGGCGCTGAGCTGGCAGGGCCCAGAGGCTGCAGCAGGCAGGTGGATCTGGGTGGGAACAAGCATCCTATCAGACTGTGGGAAAGACAGGGTGGGCTTTGACCCCATTTCTGGCTTCTAGAACCCATAATCCATGGAGAGAGGGTCAGCAGGCGGGTTCACGAGGCTGTGGGGTGAGCACATTGCTTGGGCCATGGGGGAGGAAAGCCAGGTCTGATCCAGGCTGTACCTTCACCCATGAGGGCTGGTAGTGGCCAATCATCTGTAGCACTTGACTTCGTGGGCTCAGGGACAGAGGGCAGGACAGCAACTGGCCCTGGGAATGGCTATGAGGCAAGGGAAAGATCCAGGCACTTGGGAGGCTGAGGCTGACCACAAGTTTGAGGCCAGCCTGTATGACTTAGTGAGACCGTGTCTCAAAAACAAAGGGTTGGGACGTGGCTCTGTGGTAGAGTGCTTGCCAGCACTGCAGGCCCTGGGTTCAATCTCTACTACCACATACACAAGCAATAGATATTTGTTGAGTGCCTGCTGTATGCCAGGCCTTGGTACTGTAGGAATTGAGATCACCCATGATGGGCATGGGGGGGGGGGTTAGCGATTTTGCCGGGCTGCTTAGGGCTCCCGTCTAGGGCAGGCCCTACCTGTGCCCACTGCTCCTTGACCTCGGAGCCTTCAGCACAGCAGTTCTTTTCCCCTCCACACCTCTGCCCTGTTGGTTCCTCCCACCAGGAGAGATGCAAGTCCCCACAGATGGGGACCCAGCTTAGAGAGTCAGGGCTGGGGTGAAGTCGGCCAGCCTCCGCCCAGAGGTAGGGAAGGCCTCAAGGAGGAGGGACCTAAAGGATGCATAGGAGTTCTTCACCCAAGCAAAGGACAGAAAAGCAAAAGGAACCTTATTACAGAGGCCTGGCAGTCACAACTCCTGTGACCACGGGAAGGTGCATTGAAAATTGGCTACAGCTGAAGAATAGTATGGCCGGTGCTGAACGGTGGTCACTGACATTAAAGGCCACCCAGCAGGACTGGAGCTGTGGCCAGAGGGGCTCAGCATGCCCTAAGCCCGGGTTCCATCCCCACTATAGGAAAGAACCACCCAAAATAGATTGAGCCCAGGACTTAGTTTGGAGGTCCCCCAGGAGCCAACCCTGGGACTAGGCCTTCAGGGTTTGGGGGGGATACAGAAAAAGCCCCAGGAAGCCTCAGTGAGGAGTAAGGGACTGGAGGGTACAGTGCTTAGCAGGGGTGCTGAGGAAGGGAATGGGGACTGTACCAGCCAAAAGAACTGCCCCTAGATGCCAGGCCCCGGCCAAGCATGTGACAGCAGCATCAGAATCTTGGGACACGGCCAGTTTATCCATGGGTGCAGGTGTCCTAGCCAGAGAACAGGTCCAGATCACGCTCCACAAATGAAGGCCTGGGTTCGAATCCCATCTGCACCTCGTTTAAGATCTCGGGCAAGGGCCTTCATGGTCTAAGCCTCAGTTTCCTCCCCTATAAAACGGGGGGGGGGGGACAGTCCCGGCCCCAGGCTGTCTTGAGAATCCTCGAGCCTGGGAAGGGCGAGTGCTAAAGAGGGGCTTGGCAAAGGAACCTCCCGCGTGACAGCGGGGGAGGAGGGAAGGTCGGGGGTCAGTGGTGATGAGCCTGTTGGAAACAGGCGGGAGCATCAGCCTCGTCCGGAAACAGAATGGGGCTTCACCGAGACGGTGGGGCGCCTGGGCGGATCGGCGCGTGGCCTGATCTCCTGGAGACCGGTAAAGGGACCAGAATGAAGCTAAAACTCAGGACTGGAGCCGAGAGCCTCGCCTTGAGCCCTCAGACATAAAGACAAAGCGGATAACTTTGTTCCTTCGGACAGAAAAGACCCAGCTCGCTCCGGCCCCGCCCCTGCGGAATTCCAGGCCTGCGCCTGCGCGCTGGCAACTGGGAATCCCCGCTCCAGGAGGGGGCGTGAGAGGGGAGTTCCGTGCATTCCCAGCCCTCCCCGCGCGCGTTGCCAGGACGACCGGGCGGAGCCGCGGGGCCGCCAGGTGCGCACTGCGCCTGCGTAAGGGGTGCTCGCCTCACGCGTCTGGGCTTTCCCTTCGCGCGGCGGCTCAGCGCGCATGCGTTGATTCCCCTCCACCCACGCTCTCCTCCGCCCTGGGGGCCGGGGAATCCTTTCCAACCGCAGTGCGCACTGGGGGCGGGGTGGGGAAACCGGCTCAAACCGGAGTGGGGTTTGCCGAGGGGGTGGCGGAGGAGCTTGCGAGAGCGGGGTCTTCCCGAGGTTTCCGCTCCAGCCCCCGCCGTCGCCTTGACAACCGGGCGCGCAGGCCGCATTGCGGGGGCGGTGTCGGCCTCGGGGAAGCCGCGTGGCTCTGCGCCTGCGCGCGGGTCGGAGCCGACGGCCGGGGTTCCCCTTCGTGCGCCCTGGGGGCGGTCGGGAGGGGGAATGGAGGCGACTGTGCGGGAGGGGAGGAGGAGGGGCGGGTGCCGGAGAAGGGGCGGTGGGGGAAACGCGGTGGATGGGGATGTGGGGCGCGGGTGTCGGGGAAGGGCGAACCTCGGGTGGGGGACAGGGGAGGGTGGGATGAGAGAACCCGGAGGGGGAGGGGAGCCGGGGCTCTGAGGAGCGGAGGGAACAATGTGAGGAACAAAGAGACCAGGAGGGGACTTTGGGGTGGAGGAGTGGAGGGAGGGGAGTGGGGCGGGGAGAGGTACTTTCAGCGCCCCCAGCGCTTGGCCTGCAGGGGTGGCAGGTGGGGGTCGCTGTGGCAGAAAGCAGCTTGGGTGTCGGTTTAAAATTTCCAGATTTAGAAAATAAATCTATTTAAATTTGATTTTCAGATAAACGAGTCATTTTATCATGTGTGTCCCATTCCGTGTTCTGTACCTTCTCTGGCAGCCCTTAGGTTGTTTTTCTAAACGCCTAGGGATCCTGGCGGAGCCGCCTTTGTCTCGGTGTCCCCGACGCCACATTGCCCTGCACACGGGGTGCCCTCTCACCTCCCGTCGTGTTGGCCTTGAACTCCTGCCCGAAGTCCAGTCCCGGGCAGCCAAGGAAAGGCGCAAAGGCGTGGCACCCATACACACCCCTGGGGACCTACTAATCCTGCCCAGCCCAGGGTCCTCTGCTTTTGGCCCGCTCCCCCCCATTCTCTGGTTCCATAAGTACGTGGCACATAGTAGGTGCCCTAGGGAGTGAGGGTTACATTTCTCAGCCTAAGACAGCTGAGCCCTTGGTCCCATGGGGGCACATACCCTCTCTGGGTCTTTGTCCCCTTCAGCAAAGCGGTTTTCCTTTTATCCTTCCCTTTGGTTTCAAAAGTGTAAGGTAATAAAACGTTAGGAGAAGTAGTGAGAGGGGAAAGGGCAGCACCCCCCCACACACACACACACAATTGTCTTTGCTGTCCCCACTTATTTGCCATTGGAACAGTTTCACTTCCAGGTTGGTTTCCACTCATGAGGTGAAGAACTCACTTCCTGTGGGTCCCTTCCCCAGTGGCATGTTATTTTGGAAATGGCTTAGCAGTCTGGGGTGGGGGACACGTGGCCACCTGACTCTTTAATTTTGCTGCCCAAGGGGACATCCCTGCCACAGATGGGGGCTGTGGTGGATCTTCTGTGCTTTGACCCCAGGGCACTTTCTAGCACCTCTTTGGATGGCATTTCCTTATTCAGTGCAGGGTGATCCCTGGGGCGGTGTGGGTCTGGAGCAGGATCCTCTGACCATTGGCCAAGCCCAAGGGGCACTTAGCTCCTGGTTCCCTAGGGGAAGCACAAGATGAGTGAGTGTACAGGTCACACCAGGGGCCAAGAGCAGTGAGGACAGTAAGTCAGGGTGATGTGCCCTGAGAAGGGAGGCTTCTAGGCAGGAGGCGACCTTGGATTCAGGCTCAGAAAGAGAACCCAGGGTAAGGGGTAGGAGGTAAGGAGAGCAGGGGAAGGGGATCGTGGTAGAGGGAGAGCCAATGGCAAAGGTTCAGGCTGGACTGGTTCAGAAAGATGCTGGGCGTGGCCAGAGTGCACTGGGTGGTCTGGGGAGACGCTCTGGGACTGGGGCAAGAGGTGCAGCAGGAGGAGAGAACAGACTCTGGGCCTGGGAGAAGTCAGGGTCCTCTAGGTTCAGGAAAGAGGGAGGGGGAGGGAAAGGCACTTTGCAGGACAGGGATGTGACCTGTCACATGGGTGAGAACAAATCTGTGTCAGGGAGAAGAGGCTGTAGAGGGATGGCAGAGATTGGACCAGCTTTCGGACTGGGGAGGAATCAGGGGCTCCGTAAGGTGATGGTGGGGTCTCGCGATCTGCAGAGGACCCCTCAGTGATGGGAGCCCTTGTTATGCTGCCCCCTGACTTTCTTCCTCATTGTATTTGACCCGAGCACAAGCCACAGGGAGCATGAAGCAGCCCCCAGGGAGGTATTGGGTATGCCCAACCACGGCTCCGCGGACCACACCCGAGAGGCCCCCTCCCCTTTGTTCTCACTCCCTGCACGCACGGTCCGGGTCACGCTGTCGGCTCCCACCGAGCGCGCGTCTCACTCACACAATGGGAGAGGGGTTCGCTCCCAGCCTCCTCCCGTCTCGCTGTCCGAGTCCCCCA